CTGGTGAACCATGCAACATGGATCTGGTGAACAGCTCAGATGAGTTCTTCCTCATCAATGCCACAGTCAGTCCCACAACCCTGGAGTCCTGGGATGACGCTTCACTCCTCAGCCTTCAGATCTCCATCTCCGCCATGTTAGCCATCGTCACTTTGGCCACCGCTCTGTCCAACGCTTTCGTGATCGCCACCATTTTCCTCACACGCAAGCTTCACACCCCCGCCAACTTCCTGATTGGCTCTCTCGCAGCGACAGACCTCCTGGTGTCCATTTTAGTCATGCCGATCAGCATTGTGTACACAGTCAGTAAGACTTGGACTCTAGGTCAGATCGTGTGTGATATCTGGCTATCATCTGACATAACGTTCTGCACGGCTTCCATTCTGCACCTGTGCGTGATCGCGCTCGACCGATACTGGGCCATTACCGATGCCTTGGAATACTCGAAGCATCGAACCATGCGGCGAGCGGCACTGATGATCGGCGTAGTGTGGGTGATCTCGGTCTCCATCTCCTTGCCTCCTCTCTTCTGGCGGCAGGCTAAGGCCCACGAGGAGCTCACAGAGTGCATGGTCAACACTGACCAGATCTTCTACACGCTCTATTCCACATTTGGCGCGTTTTATGTTCCCACGGTTCTCTTGATGATTCTCTACGGGCGTATCTATGTGGCGGCTCGCTCCAGGATCTTCAAAACGCCAACGACAAGCGGAAAACGGTTCACCGCTGCTCAGCTCATCCAGAACTCAGCGGGCTCTTCGCTCTGCTCGCTGAACTCCACCTCTAATCAGGAGGGACATCCTCATCCTGGAGGAGGAGGAGGTGGGGGAGGAGGGTCTCCTCTTTTCACAAACAGTGTGAAAGTGAAGCTGGCCGATAGCATGCTGGAAAGAAAGCGTCTTTGTGCCGCTCGCGAGAAGAAAGCCACCAAAACTCTTGGGATTATCCTGGGTGCGTTTATAGTGTGCTGGCTCCCGTTCTTCGTGTTCACATTGGTGATGGGGGTCTGTAAAGACTGCTGGTTTCATCCTGTGCTCTTTGATGTGTTCACCTGGCTGGGGTACCTCAACTCGCTCATCAATCCAGTCATCTATACTGCCTTCAATGATGACTTCAAACAAGCCTTCCACAAACTCATCAAGTTTAAAAGATGCTACTGATGTTACACGTCTCTTGTGTGTTTTGACATGTTCATGACTTAACTAGTGGATGTCTGCGGAAAATATCCAAATCCTGTGAACATTCATCGTTCTTATGCTTGGAGGACCCAACGTACCCTGCCGTTTGTTTTTCAGCGAGCTCCTAAACGCGCACATAGTGTCTGGTCAATGTATATTACTGTTCTCATGAGACAGCTTGTAAAATATTGTGTCATATTGTTGATGCTTCCTCGTAGTTTATGAATGCATGCAAAGATTATGAATCCTTCACTAGAGAGCGATGTTTTACTGTCTTTGTAACCAATAGCTGTCTTTAAACTGCCTTATTTACCAGAAATGGACTGATATTAACATGAAATACACTTTATTTAAAAAGAACACAAATAAATAAAGGTTGCTGCTCTCATAGGAACACATACATGGTTCATGGACATTAGTATAGACTCCCTAAATAAAAATGTTCATTATATAAGATTAAACAAAGCTTTATGTTTTGTGGTTTGGCATTTTTGTGTGAAAGAGGTTTGTTATCAGTTTCCTCTTTTATTTTGATGTCAGAGTTTGAGGAGTTTTATGATCATGAGGATGAAAAACAAGCTTCGGGCTGCATGGCTCATTTCAGGACATGATGCAGCAGAAGAAAAGTGATCAAAATGATCAAAGGTTCAAATTCTGGATGTACCTGATGAGAGAGAATGATGTGCTTTGACACGAGGTACAGCCTTAGCTGCTGCTGAAGGAGTTTTATGATGTGAAGGTCATTATTTCATCAAATATCCCAATAACGCAGCTTGTGGAAAGAGAAGCACCTCTGACTGCAGTCGTATATATGAATAATGGCATTCAGGAAATTGGCAAACTTTGCCCTCCCATCACTCTTTCTTATGATGAAGGTCAGCTGTGTTGGTTCAAAAGGTTTTTTGATAAGAAAACACAGCAATAAGAGACTGTAGACCTGAGTCAGACAGGAATAATGAGGCGTATCCCCTGAATGCACTGCTAGCAGGCTCTCAAACAGCATTTGAGACTGCAGGGTAAAGCTGTGCTGGCCTGTTCGGTCGAGATAGATGATCTGTATATTCACAGTCTGTATCAACAGATAAAAGCTCCCTCTCACTCATCCTAACAGCAAGGATGAGGTCACACCCCATAAAATAGATCTTTAGAGACTCATTATCATTCACAACCACCAGTAAATCTAAAAACGAATGCATTGGTTCGCCAGTATTCCTTGTGTGTTTGGTACATGAAGGTACAATGTGCGATGTGTGTGATGATGTTTATCAGAATATGTCCATCATGAGATGGACTAGAAGATCAAACAGATTTGTGTCATGTAGAGGAGGTACAGTCTGAAAAAAAAAAATATATATATATACAGTGGGTACGGAAAGTATTCAGACCCCATTCAATTTTTCACTCTTTGTTATATTGCAGCCATTTGCTAAAATCATTTAAGTTCATTTTTTTTCCTCATTAATGTACACACAGCACCCCATATTGACAGAAAAACACAGAATCGTTGACATTTTTGCAGATTTATTAAAAAAGAAAAACTGAAATATCACATGGTCCTAAGTATTCAGACTTAGACTCAAATAAAAGCAGCCAAAAAAACCTAATTACCCAGCTGCTGTGATGTCTGTTAAACAAAGAACAAAAGGAAATCAATAACTTTTACAAGTAGCTTTAAGGATTCATCTATATTTAATTTATAATTTAGTGTTTGATAACTTTATTCAATTTCTATATATTTCCTACTTGCTGAATGGTACAGGTAAATATGACATTTATTATAATTGGTTTATGTGAAGATTGTTTTAAGTTCACTTAAATTAGAAGTTATTTTTTAAGTCTAATAAATGTTAAAATTGATAGCTCTCAATTATAAAGTAATGCTGAATGGCTATAGTCAATCAAATATTAGGAAAAAGAAAACAATTTCCTAAAGACATCAGTATTGGTATCAGTGATACTCGCCATCAGTCATAAACAAGATGACATTAAACAAATATTAAAACTGTCTATATGTTGTTTCTACTGTACATTAATTTGAAGATTGAATGTGAAATTATTGCAATATAAAAGTATATTTAAAAACTTTAATGTTAGGTGGGATTAATCGTGATTAATTTCATAAAAAATGTGCGATTAATTAGGTAATTGGCAGCACTAATTAAAGGGGTCATATGATGTTGCTAAAAAGAACATTATTTTGTGTATTTGGTGTAATTAAATGTTATTTCACATTATTTTCCACATACTGTACATTATTGTTTCTCCTCTATGCCCCGCCTTTCTGAAACGCGTCGATTTTTACAAAGCTCATCGGTCTGAAAA